GTCTTTGCCAAGCAGCACTCTCTTCCTGTATGGCATGTGGCCCCAGTGTCGTATAGAGCCAGTCAGTGGTGGTAGCCAAGGTGTTGCCATGAGCTTGAGTGGCTTGTCCAAAATTACAGAAGCCTCTCCAAAGGACACCATCTAGTACTCTGGATCAAATAGCAACGAGGACGCCATCACCTTGATTCTCATGGTGGATTCCTAGAACCTCTCTTGCCAAAATTTGAGCAGGTTATCCCTCACCACAGGGTTTCCTCCTAAAGAGTATGTGTTGATAAGCATGCAGGTGTTCTTAGGGATGAAGTAGCCAGCAGCTCCATGTACTGGACCATGACGTGAAGTATGAGAAAGGTGCCAACAGGCCAGAGGTAGAGGACCTCCTTACCACCACACAGGGGGATATATGAGGTGCTTGATGTCTGACTCACATATAACAATACTAAGCACTTATTCCACCAGATATAAAAGGCCTCACTAAGGTGGAGGGAGGATGCTAGGTTTTCCATACACTCCACCTTCTCTTTACCTCTCTTTCCTTATCAATTGATATTTAGTTAGATTCACATAGTATCAGAGCCTTTCATTCCAGGGAAGATAGCAATGGTGGGAATGGAGATGGGCCACTTGTGCTGGTTGATTTTAATTTTCCATCCATCCTAATGGAATTCCAGTGGTGGGGAATCCTCTCTCAATTCCTTGTCCCACTTAGAGTAATGGATCTCATCTTTTGCTACGGAAATATTTTGCCACTTATTCAGGCTTTGGTACCACCAACACTAGCTAACTCTATGCTGTCATTCTTGACACAAAAAGGTAAACTCAATGTCCTAGAGTTTGGAGAATGATATTATCAAGTTGTAAGACTGGCTACATCAAATTGAACAGTGGTTTAACTATAAGTATATTCAGAAAACTAGGAATTCCAATGCTTATTAAACTTATTAAATATAGAATGGTGCTAAATTGACGCAAGAACAACATTTTTATATTTATAATAATTTTAATAATTTTATAACAATATGAGTTTTGTTAAATAACAACTTAAATTTTCATTCCTTAGTGCCTTTTGGGTATAAATGCACATGTGTTAAACATTTTATCAAGTATTTTGTGTAGAGAATGATAAAAGTCTAACAATACTATGGCAATAAAAGAAGAATATCTTAAAAGACTAATTAATAAATAATTTTCAATAATTGCAATCACATTTGCAAATACTTTTAAGCTTGAAGAGCCATGCAAGGCAATGCAATCAATAGTGGGGCTGGAGGGCAAGCTCATGAATTGTGTAAATCATCTAAGATGATGGAGAGTTGAGGCAAGTTTTGGTTAGGAACCAGTGCTCCATCTCCAGCTTAGCGTTTGCTAGGCGTCACACCACAGAGATCAGCGCTTTGCTAAGCTTGGAACTTCGGACCAAGGTTCCGCAGGCACTCTGATAGGCTAGATTTGAGCTGCCGGATCATCCAGTTGCCAGCGAAGAGCTGAAAGTCCACCGCCTTTCATCACTTCTCCCCGTAGCAATCTGCACTTTGCTCATTCTTCATTGTTGCCGAGGCTCAGCAGAGTTCAAATATTGATATATTGCTTGCTAGACCGGATTTGAGCGGCGGGATCTCATCCGATCACTGGTGGAGCCCGGCTTTCGTCACTTCTCCGCGCGTAGCGATCAGCGCTGTGCTAAGCTTGGAACTCCGGAGGCACTTCTCATTGTTTCCAAGGCCCGGCGGATTCAGATCTCGATTGCTAGGCTGCATTCGAGCTGCCCGATATCATCCAGTCGCCGGCAGAGTGCCTGCCATCCATCACTGGTTTTGAGGCTTGGCCGGGAGTTGACGCGCTTTGAAATGCCTGACCAACTCCATGAGGATATTGCCGCGACTTTGAGATCCTCACGAATGGCCTTGGTGTGGCACTGGAAGTGTCGTGGTTCAACGACACTCACAAGGAACCAGATGTCTGTTCTTCCCTCGCCGCGGAAGCACTTTCCCCCCGTGGAATTGCTGAAACCGCGAATTCCGAAAGCCTCGATAGCTTGCTTGACCGATGTGAATTCACGCTCGAGAACGAGCCTGCAATGCGATTCTCTATGGGCATTAAAGTCTGGGATCACTGTAAAAGACTAAACTGGCGTAGAGATAAGAAGACACGTCTAGACTATCTAGTTGTGAGGAGCTCACACTTGATGGCGTAGAGATCAAACGTGAAGTAGTCGCCACAGTGATTCCGAATGGCGTCCGCATCGTCGCCAGCACCCTCGAGCACTCTGGTGGTGTCAACTCTGATCTAGTAGCTTGGGATGCCCTCGCTGTCGCACGCAATCCCGCCATGCCCGACCCCGCACACCGAAATTTCCGGCTCTTCCAGCCACCCCACAGTCACGGGATTCAGCGCCTCCTCCCCAAACGGACGAGATGGAGATCCTTGCCCAGGCCGCTGTCGAAGATCTCGGTGATGATGTACGTAAAATCTTGAACACATGAACAAAGAACGGTTTTATACCTTGAAAGGAAGAAATAAAGATTTCAGTCCTTTCTCATTTACCTTGGATACACAAGCACGCTTGTTGCGGTACGCATGGAGGCAGCAGCAGCATTCTCTAGGGTAAGAAACATGGATATGGGGATAAATACGAACCAAATGTTTACCAAGAGTCATTTTGCGATGGCAACAGACGATGTCCCTGTGTCCTTAAGAAAGAGTGCATGCGAAGACTGAACAACAAACAGAGCTAGTAGATAAAAAAAAAAAAAAAAAAAAAAGCATGCTATGTTACTGTGATCATTGTTTCTTGAATCGGCCCCAAGGCGGTCGAAGGTGGCGGAGGTACGGCGGTCCGCTTGATCTCTACTGGATCAAGATTGAATTTCTCCGGTACCACGAGGTCTACAGATTGCCTCCAAGAGCTTCTCCATCCTCGTTTCAGTTAGTTCTTCGATTAGTACTCACGAAATTTCTCTTACCTTGCTCCTGCGATTGATCGCCCGAAGAAGGCGATGGCGGATGGCTGCCAATGCTCGGGATACTTGTGGTAGTGCTTAATCTTGACCTGTGTGTGTTTATCACGGCATTTGCCCAAACAAGGCATCCAGAGTATGCCCAGAACGCGTAGAATAGCGTGGTTTCTTGGACGATGATCTTGGCAGGGTTTCCTCCACGATCTTGGAGAAAATCCGGGCGATTTTATGGAGCGAAGCGCGTCTTTGATCTCATGCCGCAGCGCAACGAGTCTCCTGGAATCTGGCCGTCGCAGCGTGCGCCCAGGCCGGGTGTCTGTGGGACACGGAGGAAATCCACGATGAGATCATCTCGTCTCTTGGAACGAGATGATCCGGCCATGGCCAGGGCGATCGATCTTAGCGGCTGTTTTTAGCATCAGCCTGTCCTGGAATGCGATCCTGGGACCTGGACGATGGGCAACGATCATCGCCAAGCGCGCGAGATCTTCCATTGACTGACAGAAGTTTGTCTTACCTCTCTGTGTCGCACAGACAGACGTCACTATATGGAAGACTGTAAGCTAGTTTCCTTTTCTTCTCCTTTTTTCTTTGCTTCTTCTCGATCAGGACAACATATATCCTCGCATTTTCGGTCACGAAGCGGCTGGGTGAGTCTACTCTTGTAAAGCTCTCGAGATTTCCTTTAACTTTTGACAGTTGGACGTTTTTTCTGGAATCGTTGAGAGCATAGGCAAATATGTGAAGGGTGTTCAACAAGGAGATGACGCACTCACTCCCTTAGAGCAAAGACTGTGACTGCTGCAAATCCTTAAAGACCAACGTCTGGGATTGATCCGGAGAGAGGGGTGATGCAAGAGCAGATTTTTTCACACGATGGCGAGACCATCTACCATTTCCTGGGAACTTCGACGTATAGCCAGTACACTCTTGTGGGTCAAGCTTGCATTTGTCTCCTCGGTTGTGGTGTTACTACAGGTAACTCTTGGGAGTGTTAGCTTGTTCTTGCTTGTCTTCCAGGGAGTGATTGGTTTTTTTCTTTCTCTTCCAGGTGTTGGTGCTCCCACAAAAGCCGCGAGAGTAGAATTTTGGTCTCGGAACTATTGGATTTGCTGTAAGTGTTTTCAAGGCTTTTTTTATTCTTTTTTGTTTTGGTTTGTGGAGTTTCATATTGTCTGTGTAGGCTGCACAAGGTGCTAAGATTGCTGCGAAAAAATGCCATCGATAAATCCTTCAACGCTGGAACAAGGTATGCATCAACGTTTTCTTTCACCTTGCTATCTAGGAAAGGCGAAGTTTGGCTTGACGGATGCGATCAATCCAAAAGACCGTGGCAAGCCAGTGCAAGAGGTAAACTGCGTCCGACCTCTATGTCCTCGCTACATAACACTTACGATATCTTCTTAGAACTTACGATATCTTCAAAACTTGGGGTGATTCGAACAGGGGAGGCCTTCTACACGATCGAGTGCGTTATCTCATTCCTGATGCTGTGGAGAGCTCATGAGGTGAATTTACAGATATCTTCTTAGAACTTACGTTGATTTCTACTGCTGTAGGGAATTTGCTCTCTTCGGAAACTTGAGATATCGATCCATCACCTTCTTCAAGTTCTGGACCAGCGCTTTCCACTGCTTACTTGAGACTCAAGCTCAAGACTTTGGTACTCTTGTCGAAACCCGCGGCAACGGTGACTCCCCAGCCCTGTGATGGTCGGACATGCATGCTCTCTCATGTTCGTTGCTGGAGGCCCACGCTGCAAACTGGTGAGATGCTTTTCTGCTTTAGTGATCTTTTTTGTTTTAGGCGCCTCAAAGGTGGTGGTGGCGGCGGCGGCGTGGATCTTGCAATCTACAAAGCTGCTGGTGACGAAGCAACAAGAAGGCACAAGAAGGTGTGCGATGCTGGAGCCGTTTCCTCTACGGGTGCCTCACGTCTATCCGTCCTTGGGCCCAACATGAACCCATGGATGCCAAACTGGCTGTAGGCTGATGCATTTTTCCGCTTCAAAGCTTGCATCATCACCAAACGAGGAGACGCAGGTACCTTGGCTTTAGGATTCTCCGAGGTGACAAGCACGGTGGAAGACTCGGGTTCTTCGAAGAAGGGAAGTTACAGGGGAAGAATGGAGCTGGGACTTAAAGGCAGGGGATGCGAAGCCAGTGTAGCGTTCCATCCTGACAAGCACAGCAATGGCGACTCACGTCTGCGCTGCGTTGTGTTCTGCCTGATCTCTACGCAAAGGTTTGCCTCGAAAGCTCTTTCTAGTTTCCAACTGAAATGTCGATTGATGCGCAGGCAAAGAAGCACGTCCTAGTGTCTGAAAAGGCTGGATCGGATGGACTTCAAGCGGGAGATGGAAAACAGGCTTCTAAAGCAGCTCGTGCTTCAAGCAGCTAAAGCATTCATCTCGAAGTTAAGGACCTTTAAAATTTTTAACTGTTTTAAGGATCTTAGCATATTCGTTGGGGATTCTTGTTCTTCCTCTCTTCGCGTTGGAGGTATGGAGTCCCGGGTGGAAATGTATGGAAGGTAATGCGTGGTTAGGAACCAGCGCTCCATCTCCAGCTTCTCTAGCGTCTGGTAGGCCTCTCACCACAGAGATCAGCGGTTTGCTAAGCTTGGAGCTTCGGACCAAGGCTCCGCAGGCACTCCGATATCAGTCGCTAGGCCAGATTCGAGCTCCCGGATCATCCAGTCGCCGGCGGAGAGCCGAAAGTCGCCGCCTTTCATCACTTCTCCCCGCAGCGATGAGCGCTTTGCTCGTTCTTCATCGTTGCCGAGGCTCGGCGAGTTCAACTATCGCATGCTAGACGAGACCGGATTCGAGCGGCGGGATCTCATCCGGTCACTGGCGGAGCCCGGCTTTCATCACTTGTCCGCCGGCAGCGATCAGCGCTGTGCTAAGCTTGGAACTCCGGAGGCGTTTTTCAAGGCTTGGCGAGTCCAGATATCCATGGCGCGATAGGCCGGATTCGAGCTACCGGATCACCGCGGAGCCTGGCCGCCTTTCATCGCTTCTCCGTGCAGCGGTCTCGAAGCTTGGAACTCCGGAGGCGTCTCTCATTGTTTCCAAGGCCCGGCGGATTGCTACGATACCATCCAGTCCGGATCCAGTCGCCGGCAGAGCGCTAAAAGTCCCGCCATCCATCACTGGTTTTTTCAGCTTGGCCAGGAGTTGAGCGCGCTTCGAAATGCCTGACCAGCTCCATGAGGATATCGCCCGGCGCCTCACCCGCGACTTTGAGATCCTCACGAATGACCTCGGCGTGGCACTGGAAGCGTCCTGGTTCAACGCCACCCGCAAAGAACCGGATGTTCTGTTCTTCCCTCGCCAGCCGAATGGGCAGAGGGCACTCTCCCCCCGTGGAATCGCCGAGATCGCCAACTCCGAAAGCCTCGAGAGCCTGCTTGACCGATGTGAATCGATTCTCCATGGGCATTAAAGTCTGGGATCACTGCCCGGATAGAATGGTCTGCGTCTTCTACCGAAAAGATGCTCTTGGCCTGGCCGAACCGTTTCACGGCTACTCCTTCGGCCCAAATGCCACATATCTTGTGGAGAAGACCAGGGCGGACCAGACCTTGGAGTTTCACGGCTTCAAGCCCAGAAACCCCAACAGCTGGTCCGGGATTGAGGTCAGGGATCCCGTGTGCTCCCAACCCGGGATGGCGATATATTCGGTTCCTATCTTGTCGCAGTGGATCTTCGGCAATGCTGCACCCCCTGCGGTGTATCGGTTCGATCTTTACCGGATTCAGAGAGCAGTCCACCGAACTCGGTCTACGTCTTTTCTTTTCGCTTTTCACGGCTTCAGCTCGAAGCGACTCGGCAGAGCCAAGCTTGTTTGCAATCCAATTCATTCGCAACGCCTTTTATTCTGAATCGAGAGAGTATGTCCTTCGTTCATGTCTTGGCGGCAAGAGAGGAGTATGAAAGATACATAGATAATAGCTTACAAGCAAAACACGGGTATGAGTAAGAGATTAAGCAGAGATGAAAAGACACGTCTAGACTATCTAGTTGTGAGGAGCTCACACTTGATGGCGTAGAGATCAAACGTGAAGTAGTCGCCACAGTGATTCCGAATGGCGTCCGCATCGTCGCCAGCACCCTCGAGCACTCTGGTGGTGTCAACTTTGATCTGGTACCCTGGGATGCCCTCGCTGTCGCACGCAATCCCGCCATGCCCGACCCCGCCCACCGAAATTCCCTGCTCTTCCAGCCACCCCACAGTCACGGGATTCAGCGCCTCCTCCCCAAACGAGACGGCACTCCTGGCAGTGACGCTGCTGCCATCAACTTCGTCTCGCTCGAAAACCACAGCAACCATCTGCCTCATCTGCGACTTGAGGTAGCACTTGAGCGCCACGAAGGTCTGGACCTTGGAGCCGGGGCTATGGAAGTAGGCGTCCTTGTAGGAGAGGAGCTCGGGCAGCGTCTGGCACTGTCCGACGTCGAGGATGAATCGCGGGCATGGGCGAGTGGTCAAGTCCTTGCCATCGTTGGGCTCGAGCCGGTAGAGGTCCTCGTGGTGGGCTTGGACGGTCACGTACTTGATGCTTCCAGTGGGAGGATAGGCGAATCGCTTGCGCTGCACCGTCCACACCCACGGCGCCGGTCGCTCCATGCGCCTGCTCACGTACGCCGCGACGAAGGATTGGTGCTTGCGCTCCACTGCAATCACCCTGCCGATGGGGCGCACGATACACGACGCCCCTAGCTTCCATCGCTCGCGGTAGACCAGGAGCTTGTCCATGCTCCAGCCCGTGCCTACCAGACACTCCTTGCGCTTGTTCCATGCCTCCCAGTCGAGGTCGTCGTCGTGCTCCGCCTTGCGCTCCGCTGCCTCGAGCGCCCGATAGAGCACAGCCTCGAAGGATTGGCGCGGCATCTTAAAACCCATGAGCCTCAAAAGGACTGAGGTTTTATAGGTAATTTGCCAAGCTTTTGGTGGCCTGCAGTGCCCCGTCTGCGACTCTCGGTCGCAGAGGCTGGCCACCCTGTGACGCAGCCACGAGATGCGCGAACCGAGTATGATAGCCGTCCAGTCCAGTGCCTCATCTCCTCCAAGACTCCTCGATACATGTTGATGAGATCGCAAGCACCATCTTCTTCTCCAGTCCCTTGGCCTTGAAACGCCTGAGTATGCTCATGAAAGTTGCTCACCACGGCCGTGAGGACCTTGCGCTGGATTTCTTCCGGAAGATGGTGGCAGAGGGGGTACGAGCAAAACCGGAGATCAAGCCGTCCACGAGACGACGCTCTGGTCGCCAGCCATGTCCTGGAAGAACTTCTTCGTGTCGCCGAGGCTTCCGGCCGCCTTGCGGTACATGATCCGAGCTCGGATCTGAGCTTTCCATGGTCCAGCCGAGCGAGCCCAGGCTCGAGCAAGCGCTGACGAGATTGAGGAGCACCGCCATCTCGAGCTTCGTCCAGTGGTAGAACTCGAGAGCTCTTCGAGAGGATGGAGTCTCCAAACGTTTTCTACTGGAGCATCATGATCGTGGACAATGGCCTCGTCAAGAGACCGCCCTGGCCTCTTCCGCATTTGCATACATTTGGACGAGATGGAAATCCTTGCCTAGGCCGCTGTTGATGATCTAGGTGTGGATTCTCCAGCCTTCGGTGATGATGTACGTAAAATCTTGAACACATGAACAAAGAATTATTGTTTCATATCGCTGTACCGTGAAACAAAGACTCTCATACACAAGCACGCTTGTTGCGGTACACATGGAAGCAGCAGCTCCTCAGACGTAGGATTCTCTAAGGTATGAAACATAGATATGTGGATAAATACGAACCAAATGTGTACCAAGAATCATTTTGCGATGGCAACAGAATCTAGAAGCTGACGATGTCCGTGTCGAGGCCTGTGTCCTTAAGAAAGAATGCAAGTCCTGAGCTGCGAAGACTGAACAACAAACAGAGTTAGTATATAAAAAACAAATGTAAATTGCATGCTATGGTAGCTTGATCATTGTTTGTTGAATAAGCCCCTCCAGGATAAGGAGCCAATTACGTTGAAGCAAGCAGCTGCACCAGGCTCTAGAGATTGAACCGAGCGGTCACCGACAACCCTGAATTTGTAAACGCCAGGTAATAAATACTGACAGAACCTCCGAAACCGACCTTGGCATGGTTTTATCACGTCAGTCGCAACACCTGAGAGGTGACTGCCATCGGCTCCAAGTTCCTGCAGGTGTGACGTGTTTTCGGAATATGAGAAACACCAAGAGCACACAATTTTTGTAACGAACTGCGAACACCCGTCAGCTTGGGCAGTCGTTGCTATGATCGAAGGGCTCCGCTGCTTCCTGCAACAAGCAAGTTACTAACCATGAATTTGGAAGTAACGCTTACAAGAATAAAGGATGCAGTGATTACGATAATCCTCGTGACCGAGTTAGTGAAGGAAGAAAAGTTTCATGTCCATTTACCTGTCCATTCTTGGGGCCAATCGCGACTAACAACTGGAAATCTCTATAGCTAATAGAGGGATCCTTAGCCAGGCCTTTGATGGGAAACTGTTACAAAACTCGTAAACGATGCCGCGATCGTTTGAAGCCGTGTTTGCGCTCGCGCTCGAGGCAGTGGAGCGCAAAGCGGAGTGGAACAACCGCGAGGAGTGCACCGTGGGTAAGCGCTGGACCGTCGCCAAGCTCAACCGCTACCTCGAGATGGAAGCTAGGGGTGTCGTGCATGCGTCCCGCGGGCAAGGTCATCGCTGTGGAGCGGAATCGTTCGTCGCCGGCTACGTGAGGGATAGATTTATGTCCAGGAGGGATGGGATGGAGCCTCTGCGGCGCAGGACGTGGGGACTACTCTACATTCCATTTGCCCATCTCGCCAAGCTCCCCGCCATGGAAGCCTTCCATGCCGATCTCTACCAGCTCGAGCCCGATGAGGGGAAGTACCTGACGAATCGCCCATGCTCGCGCTTCATCCTCGACATCGGCCAGTGCCGACGCTACCCGAGCTCCTCTCCTACAAGGACCCCTACTTCCAGAGCCCCGGCTCCAAGGTCCCGATCTTCCTGGTGATCAGAAGACGCAGCTGAGGGTTTAGGGTTTAGGCATTGTGTGAGGCAAGGGTTTTAAACGTATAATTAATCATAGATAGGCCAAGTGTTACTTAATTAAATGAGGCAACGTGTCAATGTGCATGGTCTGTTAAATGGGCAGTGGTGGTGTCGTGGTGGCTCTATCAAAAAAGTTCATCGTTCTGTTCATTCGAAATACAAGCACGCCATGGAAAGCGAAGGAAAGATGATCGCTTGCTATGGTAACGGTCTTCGATTTCCTTTTTGATCCTTGACACTCTTCTTTCCTTTCCATTTGCAAAGCTGCTGTGGCTCATGGAGCTGGGAAGCCGATGGTCATCGAGAAGATCCAGGTTGCGCCACCGGGATCGACCGAAGTTCGTCTTAAAATCGTCCACACCTCTCTGTGCCGCACAGACATCACCCTCTGGAAGAATGTAAGCTAAGTTTCCTTTTCTCCTCCCTTTTTTGATCTTGCCTCTTCTCAATCAGGGCAACATATTCCCTCGCATTTTCGGTCACGAAGCAGCTGGGTGAGTCTACTCTGTCGAAACTCTCGAGATTTCCTTGAACTTGGAGGGTTTTTTTTTGGTCTAGAATTGTTGAGAGCATAGGCAAAGATGTGAAGGGTGTTCAACCAGGAGATCACGCACTCACACTGTTCACGGGAGAGTGCAAAGAGTGTGACTACTGCAAATCCGGGAAGACCAACGTTTGCCAAAAGTATGGAATCGATCCGGAGAGAGGGGTGATGGTGAGCGACGGTAAGAGCAGATTTCTTACAGAGGATGGCAAGACTATATACCACTTTTTGGGAACTTCAACCTTTAGCCAGTACACTGTTGTGGATCAAGCTTGCATTTGTGTTGTAAATAAGGACGCTCCTCTCGAGAAGATTTGTCTACTCAGCTGTGGTGTCACTACAGGTAACTCTTGGAAGTTTTAGCTTTTGTTTCTAGGCAGTGAAGTTTTTTATTTTTTTTCTTTCAGGTGTTGGTGCTGCGACAAAAGCTGCGAAAGTAGAGAAAGGATCCACAGTAGCAATTTTTGGTCTCGGAACTATTGGATTTGCTGTAAGTGAATGGTCATTTTTGAGGCTTTGGTTTTCAAACGAGTCATGTTTTGTTTGTGTAGGCTGCACAAGGTGCTAAGATTGCTGGTGCCTCGCGCATTATTGGCATAGATATAAATCCTTCAAAGCTGGAAGAAGGTATTGCAGCGGAAATATCAGATTGTTTTTTCACCATGCAATATAGGAAAGGCGAAGTTTGGCTTGACGGATGCGATCAATCCAAAAGACCATGACAAACCAGTGCAAGAGGTAATTTGCGTTAACCTATATGTCTTTCTCGCTACAAAAAGCTCATCAAAACTTTTAAGGTGATTCGAGAAATGACCAATGGAGGAGCTGATTACACCATCGAGTGCGTTGGGAATGTAAATCTCATTCGTGATGCTGTGGAGAGCGCTCATGAGGTGAATTTGCAGAGATGTTAGTAGATCCCACGTAGCTTTCTATGGTTTTTGTCTATAACAGGGCTGGGGAGTCACTGTTGCGGCGGGTTTAGACGAAAGCACCAAAGTCCTGACCGTGAGTCCCAAAAATTTCCTCTTTGGACGCTGGCTCACGGGAACGTGGTTTGGGGGCTACAAAGGAAGGTCGGAGCTCAATCAACTAGTGGAAAAGTACATGAACAAGGTAACATTTGATCGTTTATATGGTTTACATGGTTTGGGCTAAGTATTCATGATCGATCTAGGAGCTAAACCTCGATGATTTTATCACACACAAGCTTCCATTGGCCAAAGTTAACGACGCTGTGACTCTTATGGAGGAGGGGAAGTGTTTGAGATGCGTGCTCGACGCAAATGCCGTGTAAAAAATCTTTGTATAGACATTGACATTGCGATTTTAATAATTCGTGGTTTAACAGCACGTTTAACATTCGATGTGTCTGCCACCCTGGCAATGTGTTGCGTCATACGTGGCAAACCCAAAATCCTTTGCCCTTAATTGGGACGGGCGCCTCTATCTAGTCTCTCTGCGCCAGGCCGCCCCACCGCAGCGCCCACGCCCAAGGTACACTCGACGCCATTCGCTTTTGCTAGCTCCAATTTGCGCCTTCTTTCCAAGCCAGGATCTCGCAGTTGCCATGGCGTCGCGGCTCCGATCCATCGCTAGGGCTCTTGGAATGTAGCGTCGGGGAAGACTCGTCTATCTTGGAAGAGGGTTTGGCGGCGAATCCCGCAGCAATGTGGCAGCAGCAGCAGCAACAGCAATCCGAGTGGAGGAATGCGAATCATCCATTCTGGCAGCAGTACCAGCGGCAGCAGCAGTACCAGCAGCAGCAGCAGCAGCAGTGGAGGAATCAAAACCAGAGCTGGCACGATTTTCCTCGCGAGTTTCCACAGGCGCCACTAAACAGCCCCCGATATATTGGCGATGGAACGCGCAGGACTTCTCAAGGGCCTGGAACTGGAGCAAGGGCGGCCTTTCAACCCAAGAGATCGTGGAACCAAAGAGACAATAGGAATTGGTAAGGTGGGAGGTTTGTGAGGCAGGATGATACTCGACGCTGGCTCCATTCTAAAGCACCTTTCGAGGTAATTCTTTCGTTGTTCTTTCTCTCCCTTTCTTTTCTCATTTTTTTGGATCTTTTTCCTTCCAGATTTCTCTCGTACAACATTCTAGCCGCCGACAATGCTCGGGAGCATTATCGTGAGCTCTACTATCACATCCCAATGCGCTATGTCAAATGGGACTGGAGAAAAGTGCGCTAGGTGCAAGAAATCGAGTACTGGTCACCGGACATTCTTTGTTTGCAGGTACTGTTAAAAGAACTTTGTTTTGTTTTTATGCTTGTAGCATGTTTATACTGATGATGTTTTCAGGAGGTCGATCGCTTTGCAGATTTGCAAGGCGAGCTAGTGAAGAGAGGATATGCCAGGATGTTCAAGGTATGTTCCCTCTTCTTTTGTACTGAAACCATCAGTGTCGAATTGGCACTGCCACTGGATGGGTGTGCAATCTTTTGGAGAGAGAAAAGGTTTGCAATTTTGCATTTTTTTTTGTATTCCAAGTGTGTGAGTGTTGAGTTATATTTTGTTAAAGATGGATTTATGAAAGATCATTTAGTAATTATTTGTAGAGCATAACTTTATTGTGGTTGGATTTTAGATTGATGCAGACATATTTTTCATTAAGAAACTTCACTTTTTAATGAAAAATTAAAATTTAATTTCTAATAAACAATCTTGTCTAGAATACAACTACTTCAAATTTAACACTCAATTCATTAGAATGTTAATATATAATTGCTAACTAATAAATGCACAAATATTAATAATACAAAGTTATAGGTGTGAGTGCATAGAATATGGAAAGGGAATACAAAAAATGTATATATCAATTAATTCAAAAACCTTAGTTTATATATAAGAGTGAGTGGTTCAGATTGAAATTAATTTGACAACTACCAAAATCCCACTATGCTAAAATTAGTATATGGCATCGTAGTTGTACACTTGGACCTCACATCATCCCCTCCTCTTAGAATAATGGAAGACCATTAGAGTTCTCTTGTAGATGGGCTAGGATCTAGAGGGACGTTAAGAAGAGGCATTGGTAGATTTATAGGTAGTACCAATTGTTTCTGATCCTTTTGTATGAAGTGTTTTAACAGTTGCAAATGCACAATTTCTGAAAGATCAACCTATTGGACATCATGCCGAACCTTATAAACTTGTGGTCCAATTTGCCACAACATATGATACAATCCTTTCCACTGAGCAAGGAGCCCCTTAGATAAACCACATATTGTAAAATGGGAAAAACAAACTAATACCAAATCATCCATTTTGTACTTCACAGGTGAACAATGATAGTAGTTGTAGTGCTATTGTTGTCCCACTTGTACATAGCCTAAGTGTTTGGTAGACTTTGCTTGGACAAGTGGAAGAATGCTCGTCAAATACTGATCCTATAACCTAACATTGGCAGCTTGTGGCAATTGCAAAGGTAAATCCAGCTCTTTTAGTAATATTAGATCATGACAGAACTTTGCACCCTTGTGACATATGCATACCGAAGAGACGGCAAATAACTATCCCAATCTGAATGCTGAAAGTTCACGTACTTTGCGATTATTTATTTGAATGTCCAAATGAGCTATTCCACTAAACCGTCTGACTGTGGATGGTAAGCACTTGTGAAAGTGTGGCGCATCCCCAATCGAGACGTCAAAACATGAAATGTTTCAGCCATAAATGTGGGACCATTATCTGAAAGAATCTGCTCCGGACAAGAATGTTAGAACACCACTTGATTGAAGAGGAAGTATCCAACAGTAATTGCAGAGGCATTAGCAAGAGCACCAACTTCCACCCAACAAGTCAAATAGTTAGAAGCAATAATAACATATTCATTGCCGGTAGTTGATTGTGGAAAAGATCCTATAAAATCAAATGCCACCAACTCAAACAAATGGGAAATTGCAATTGACTCCAATTGTCCTTTCACAACACGAGGGGGAGTATTACAAGCTTGGCACCAAACGCAACTACGCACATACTAGATAATATCATGTCACATCTCCGGCTAATAGAAAGACTTGCATAGCTTCTCAATCACACAATGATGTCCCATATACCCGCTTAGAATAGGAAAATCATGGTAGGCATAGAGAAATTGTGGAATAAAGACAAAAGGCACCACCAGCTATAAATGATCATTAGGATCCATCCTCACAAAATAAAGAAGGCCATCTTCAAGGCGATATTGAGGATGTAAATACCAGAATGGCAAGTCATCAGCAAGTGATATAGGATTCTCAAACCCATCTCAAAGCCTTCGAATCCATAGCTCAATTTTTTGAGCTTCGCAGACCTCATTAAGAGAAGGTGGATTTTGTTCTGCACCTTGTGGTCGATGGCACAAAATCCTCGTTTAGAAAATTCACAAATGCTAGAATAATAAGCTCGTCAGAAACATAAGAAGAGAGTGGAGAAGGAAAAGAAGCTCAAGAAAGGGCATTAGCATCAGCCATAGAACTCCCTAGGCGATAAATAACATCAAAATCATATATCTGAGCTTTAAAGCCCACCGAGCAATATGACTAACTAAGTTCTTTCGCTTCAATAATGAAGTGTAGCATATGTGATCATAGGATGAGATTTAGATATACTGTCACCGTGGATTTGTGGAACCTTGGGGAATAAATGGGGATAAAATAGCCATCAAGGGCTCTCTTAGCAAACAATTGCCCCTTTTCCAGTTGGCTTAAGGGGAGAGAGATAAAGTGCACCACATGAAGTAACAATAATATAATCACCTTCTAGTAATGTCCGAGAACCATGTAAATATGCATGAAGTTTCTTGAAACCCTAGATTGCTGCTAAACACTCCTTCTTTGTCATGGAGTAGTTCACCTCTGCTTAGTTGTAATATACAGCTTATATATGCAATAAAATTATGCTGACCAAACATACTTAGGCTCTCTTGTATCAACACACTTCCAAGACTAATACAAAAAGCATCCATGTTCAAAATGAAAGGTCGAGTGTAGTTAGGATATGCCAAAACCGGAGGAGTCATCAATAGCTCTTTGAGATCCATGAATGCCCGCTCACAATCTGGAGACTAGATGAAAGATGACGTTGATGACTTCCGCAATGCTTGCAATAGTGCAATGCAATCAGAAAGATGATCCACAAAATGACTGAGATATTGCACCTTACCCAAGAAGCGCTGCATATCATTTACACACTTTGGAGTAGGGAACTTTACAATAGCCATAAGTTTGTCAAGATCAATTTGCAAACCCTTGTCTTTGGACCCAAACATGCACTTCGACTGCTTCAGCTTTAAACCAATGTCTTGTAGCTGATCCAACACTTTACAAACATCATGGACGTGCTCCTCCCATGTCCCCTCCAAGTGGGTTAAGACATCATCAATGAAGTCAACAGTCACCTTTGCCATATCACAAAGAATCTCGTCCATCATCCACTAAAAAGTTGCTGAAGCATTGTTCAAACCAAACGGCATCACTAAGAACTTATATAAACCAAATAGTGTATAAAGAGTAGTATTAGGAATATTTTCTTTAGCTATCAGTATTTGCCAGTACCCAAAAGCAAGATCTAGCTTGGTGAACCAATGACTTCACCTTAGACGATCCAAGAGATCAGCAGTGTGAGGAAGAGGGTACTCATTTGGGATTGTCACTTTGTTTAACGGATAATAGTTGATGATGAAATAAATACTCCCATTAGGCTTCATCACAAAATGAGGTTCACATGCCTAAGGACTTCATGACTTCCGAATAACACCCTTCTCTAACATCTCTTTGACATTTTCACGTAAAATCTTGATCTCTTTGATGCTTTATTTCGTTAAAGTGGGACTTTTCATTATCCCACTTATGGTGTGTGGCCACATGCCATTTTTATAACAACAATAAAAAATTGAAGTTTTAACTTTATAATTTATAAATTAAAAACTTTTCATATGATTTTGTGTTATAATATTGTGAAATATAAAAAAATAAATTAAAAAACTGATAGAAATATTAATAAATATTAATTAAGTACTAGGAAATGGCATGTGGACACATGCTAATTAATGTCCCACTTTACTGAATAAGTCCCACTTTAACGAAATAAAGCATTTTGGGTGACCGATGACGAATAGAAACCTTGATTTTTTGAGCATCCCCAGTTGGAATTGGATGACGTGTGGCAATCTTGGCCCCAGATGATAAGTCAAATTTAAAGAGATCGGAATACTCTTTCATGAATCGGTTAACCGCTACAACACAAAGACTATTGAAGGGATTGAAAAAGGGAAGAGCGGAACAAGACAGAAACATAGGAGGAAGTAGTGGAGGGACAAAAGTAATGGAAGTAGAGGTAGAAGCAGAGGGACAAAAATGTATAGAAGTGAGAGGAATGGATAAAATATAAAGAAGTATGAGACAAAAGAGAGAGGCCTCAAAGTCACACTTGGCATGTTGTGTTGCAACCAATCCATACCAAGGATGAGGTTAAAAGCTTGACTCGGAACCACCTACGATAATTGCAACCCAAGCTCGAGATCACCCACATGCACAACTAGGTCCGCCTCATCTTGTGCACATGCATGTATACAACTGTTGACATAAAGAATGAAAACTGGCTCCACTGCACGACACAAGTGTAGACAACAACGTGTGGCAATGGGTTAAGCAATAGAAGATAAACTCGAACCTATATAAACTAGCATGGAGAGAATAATAGGAGACCACTTGTTATAAAAATAAGCTTAGAAAGTAAACACTGGATGAACTGGTGGCGAGTGAACCCCTTGATAATACTCTCGAAAGAAAGATGGAGGGGTCACTAACTTATTCGCACAAGGTCCCTTAGTTACTCGCGTGACTCTTCGTTTCCCAGATGTATCTTGGTGTCCAGACCTTTTGCTGCAATAACACCAATAGGACGTTGTTGACGCCAAGGTCTCCACTCAGGAAATGGTGGCCGCCAATTTGGAAAATGCCGATAACACTGATAAGTGTGACCAACGTCATCATACACCCAGCAGCGAACATCACAGCCATGACCACGTCCTCACCCTTGTCCTTAGACTCAAGCAATAGCAGCATCAACCTTCATTGAAATAGGACTATCACCCATAGGAAGTGGAGTTGAAGAACGTGCAGCAAGAAATGGAAGAGGTGATGTTTTATAATGTTATGCCAAGCGAGGAGCATTGTTAAGGGTGGTGGGAGCAAGTGCATACACAAGATTGACAAGATCTTGACAAAGTGCTGGCCACAACATTCCTAACATGATCCGCTCCGACATATTTGGCTCCACACGAAGCAAGAGGCTTTGGAAACAAACACTAAATTGCATCACCAAATCAGATGGCCCTTAATGAAGATGATACAATTGTTGGAAAGCATCATCACAATCGTCGGCATATCCGAATGTGCATTTGAAAACGTTCAGAAGAACACTCCAATCCCCACGAGTGGTTGCGCTCAAACTATTGTACCACTGCAATGCCATCTCTTGAAGACACATAGGAAACTCATGCAAACGTTGAGCATCATCTTAAAAATGATATGTGGCAATCACCATGAAGTGATTGAACCAATGGTATATATCAT